CTGTTTTCATCGTTTTTGTAAAGTACATCGGATTTGGGTAGGCTGAACAGAATATGTGGCTATTGGAGGTTATTTTATGGATATTGGCCCAATGGTTTCTGATTAATTTTAACAGAAATAAGTTTATTCTGATGAGGTTGGCTTCTTCGTAGAGTTTGTAGTTGCTTATCCGTTTTGTGAAGTTCGATTCTGGTGAACGGTATCTGTTGAGGCAGGCTCAGATGCATTTCCTTTCGAAGACTCGAAGTTTCTCCATAGTTCCTAGGCTGATGTTGAACCAGATGGGGCAGCCATACGTTAAGATGGATCGGATGAAGAGCTTGTAACACAAAATTTTTATGCCTTTATCTAGTTCTTTGGAGTAGAATAATTTTTTGTGGTTTATAAAGGCCTTTTGTGCGTTATTTATTTGTATGTCTATGTGTTGGTTGTAATTTAATTTAAAGTCTAAGTGTATTCCTAGATAACGGACAACGTCTTTATGCGGGATGTTGGTCTTCGGGTTTTGGTTATCGTGTATGTGGAATTTGCCTGCGTGTTTGCGTACATTGCTATTGGCGTCTGATATGGAGGATATGTAAGGTCTGAACAGGATTGTTTCGCATTTGTTTATATTTATCATTAGTTTCCAGGTGTTAAAGTAATTTTGAATTTTGATAAAGATTTTCTGTAGTAGGAATTGTAATTTAGAGACTTTATTGTGCCGGAGGTAGATTAGGAGGTCATCCGCGAAAGCAATTGCTTTTCGAGCGTTACCGCTATTCAGATCATACAGATGCAGTAGGTTACTAATGAATATGTTAAATAAAATCGGAGAGTTTACTGTGCCCTGTTGCAGACCGTTTGTAATTTTGAAACCTTTATTAGATACGCATTGACCGTTAGCGACATAGAATTTCTTGTTATGCAACATGTTCCAAATGATTTTTATTAGGTGTATCGGGAAATGTTTTTTCAGGAGTTTGTAATTTTGAAAGCTTTACTAGATACGCATTGACCGTTAGCGAAAAATGTTTTTTCAGGAGTTTAAAAAAGAGACCGTCTAGTCAAACGGTGTCGAAGGCTTTTTCTAGATCGATAAATATTCCGCCTACGCAATCACTTGCGTTTCTGGCCCAACAAATATCTAAGGTGAATTTAGTGATCGCATGAATTGTGGAATGTTTATGACGAAAGCCGAGTTGTGTGTGCGGTATAATTTCCTTGGATTTGCAGAAGTGCACGATTGCATTATTTATTGCTGTTTCAAAAACTTTATAGATGTTAGGGAGAATACTTATCGGACGATAGCTATTAGGATCGCTACTATCCTTGCCTATCTTTTTGATTGTTATTAATTTGGCTGTTTTCCGAATTTCGGGGAAGTATGATGCGTTTAGACAATTATTGAAAATAATGGCGTAGTAATAGATGTAACGTTGTGGGGGGTGTTTTAGAGCTAAGTTAGGGATACCATTAAAGCTGGCGGATTTTTTATTATTCAGTGTTTTGAATGTATTTTGGAGGGTGTTATAGGAAATGAAATACTTCGGGAGGGATGATGTTTTTGTCAGGGTTCTCTGCAGTGTTTGTCGTTGTGAACGTGCATAGTGTGGTGTTGTTTTCAATTTCTTGTTGGAAGGCGTTTATTCTCTATCTTACTATGTTGCTATGCTGCTCTCTGCCCAAGTGCTGGTTTTCCGAGTGTGCTGCTTCGAAATGTGCTCCTATGATGTCTAGCTTGTTTTGTGTGTCCGTAATTAGTATTTTGTCGTCTGTGTCTCGGGGCAGGTGGTTAGGATCAAGGTTTGCTTTTTGGAAGCGATCTATTTTGGCTAGGGGAATTTTCAGTGTCTATTTCGATACTGTCTTTTGTTTTAAATAGGCTATTTAGTGAGGGGAACATTTCGCGAGGGTTACGAACTGACAATAAGATTTTGTTGATTTTATTTTTCCAGTGGTTGCTCACGCTTTCTTGGAATGCTTTTTTAATTTAGTATCTTATTTTCGATAGTGCTTTTTTTAGTGTACTTATTGTAGGCGTTGAGTGGACGGGACGAAAGGGTTCGTCTCCCCGGACGCCTTGAGTTCGGGCCGGGGACGCTAGGTGGCGGCGAGATGATCGGTGTTCTCCCGCAAGCGCTCGCCCGACATGCCGTTCGGATATATATAAGTTCCGAATAGCGCTACGATAGGTGTCTGGGGCAGGGATCGTCTGTTGTTAGCCCCGCTGACGAGTCTGACAGACAATCCCGAGACGAAACGCCTTTTCCTCCCCGCTCCTACATTATCAAGGGTTCGTTTGATGTTTTGTGCTCGTGATAGTCTGTTAATTTGTGTGATTAGGTGAATTTTTTGTTTGCGTAGCTTTTTAATTTTGGGTGTTAGGTATTTGTCAGTCGAGTTGAAGTTGTTTTCTATGCCCGGCACTGCGAGGTTAATTGTATTGCGTTCATCTTATCTATGTAATTATCTATTTCGTCGTTAGTGAGGTTCCTGTCGTTAGGTATGTCTGTGTCGTCGTTTTCGGTCAAAAAGGTTTCGTACTTTGCCCAGTCGGCTTTGTTAAAGTTTTATCTTATGTTGGGGGTCTTCGAACACAAAATAATCGGTCGAAGATATGGAAACGGTCATTATGGAGGCTCTGTGGCCACTGTCGTATTGAAAGCATTTTAGTAGGTTCCGAGCAGGTATATTGAGGAAATTAATAATAGGAAAAGGTCGATGAATGCACCGCTTTTTGGATACGAAGGGACTGCTGTTCTGTAGAGGGATGTTCTATAGGTGATTTGGTTTTCGAGAAGCCATTTGTTTAACGACATTCCTCAGCTATTGTTTATTGTGTTTCCCCAGATGAGGTGTTTGGCGTTCAGGTCTCCAGCGAGCAAATAATATTTATTCGATTTGTGTAATTCCAAGGAGTTGAATAAGGCTTTAAATTCCATCATGAATTCTTTTTTGCTATTACCGGACGCGTAACCTGCTATTAGATAAAGTATGCAGTTATTTTGAATTTTGATTTCTAAAATTGTGGATTCAAGGCATACGCTGTTTCAGACGCTACTTATTGTTAGTTGAATGTTCCTAAATGTTATGTCTTTCCGAATCAATATTCCTGTGCCTTCCGCTTGTTTCAAGTTTACCCTGTCTCTTCTGATGAATTGGTAATCTTTAAAAAATACTTTATGCCCTTCTTTCGTTCGTTAATTTGAATTATGTTGAGCTCGCGGAGCAGCAATTCATTGATTGTATTTCTGTGCGGTTTTGGATGCATTTTAGATGTCGATATCGAGTGCTTCAACTATAATATTTATTCTGTTGGTATTTGCGGAGATGCTTTCTGATAGTCGTTCGATTTGGGGGTTGATTGTGGTTGTGATGATGATTTTGATCTCTTCTAAGAGCGATGTGTGTGGTGTGCAATTAGTGTTTAGTTGAAGGGGCGTTTGTGCCGGTTGTTGGGTTGTGTTTTTGCTTGCGTTGGGATTGTTAGCAACAATTGCGCTAAAAGATAAGTTAGGCCTTACTAATTTGTTGATTAATTTTACTTTAATTTCATTTTCTAATTTTAATAGCTGCTTTTTTTCCTCTATTTTCTGTTTGATTTCGGTAACTTTAGGGCATCCTCTGTATGACGCGGGGTGCCCGAATTGTTTGCAGTTAACGCAGTAAGGTTGAGTGTCTGCCGAATTAGAACGCGGGTACTCTCCTGGGTTGTGCGGTTCGTTAGATTTAACGTACCTATAACTTAAATTGCAGTTGAGCGCAACATGACCAATACGTTGGCACCTCTTAACAGTCTTTTTTATCAATTTTTCCCACAATACTAGAAAGTGGAGCAATTTTTTAAACTTTTAATAGGTTGTCGGTTTTACTATCTTGGGTTGTTTGGACCAAGTAAATAAGGAAGTTTCTGCCTTCTTTGAGGGATCGCTGGATTGTGAATTTCTTAACTGATTTAAATTCTACATTTTCTACCTTTTTATTTTTTAGGTGCTCTAGAACTGTTTCAGGTTCGAAGTTTCCTTCGAGGTTTTTTAGAAGGATTGTGGTTGGTTTTTCCTGTTTCGGAGTGTACATGAAAAATTCTATTTCGTTTGTTTTTAGGGTGTTGCATGCTAATTTGTGTAAAGCTACGCTATCCACGTGTAGAAGGTGTTTTTTCACAGTAATAAATAAGCATGTCTAGAATATTCTAGAATTTTTTCAGATTTTTTGCAAAATGTTAAATAGGAGAAATATGGCAAAAACGGTAATTTCTATCTTACCCTATAACAACCCTGCCAGTTGAGGTACAGGGTTGAAACTTGGTGTACCATGGTTTTTTGGGATAAGCTATCGAATGGTGCGTTGCTAAGTAAAATCGGCTCAAAGGTACTTTTGACCATCTTATCCTGCTATACCCTTTCAAGATTTTAGAATTTCATAATTCTAAATATCTAAAATTTAAGAATTCAGAAATTCTAGAATTCCAAAGTTGAAAAATTCTAAAATTCTAAAGTTGAAAAACCCTAAAATATTAAGATTTACAATCCTGCCACAAAACAATATGTAGGTAATGTAATTAAAAACAATATATACGATACATATTCTTATTATTTGAAACTAACAAAATGTATTAATTAATATTCTGATTAAGTTAGATTTAACCCTTTCATGGACGTGAGAAAGTAAAAATTTCAACATAAAGAATATTAAGTTAAATATATATTGACTTCAATAAAATCAATTCATTCTTTTTTGTACTCTTTTGCAATTAGGGTTGGTATATGTTATAATTACCAAATCCAATGTTTTGTACTTTGAAACTGCATGTATTAATGACTTCAATTCATGGGAAAAACAATTTCCACCGCCTACGAAAGGGTTAAAGATGATGGTAATTTATATCGCCCACTCCAAACAATGATCCTAGTTGCGCCAATGCTTTTGATATGATTTCGAATTTTTTATATTTTTTATATACTCATCAATAATTTGTTAATAGAAGATTATGAAAATGTAGTAAAAGTAAACGATAATTGCTTCTTATATTCTTTTTATTTTTTAGACTGATCTGTCGCAATGGAAGAGTATTTTTTTCTTATCAGCTATAATATACATAGTCGGAAATTTATTATTTATCTTATTTGGTACAAGTACAATTCAACCATGGAATGATCCCCAGAATAAAATAAAAAACTCATCTTCGAATACAGTAGATACATCATCAATGGAAAATGAATATGTAAGAGAAAAAGGAGAGACACGTAAAGATAATAAAAATACAGACATAGAAAGAGATTCATAGTACCATGACAATAAAATAAGTAACATTATGAAAATCATTACAACTATCATAAGTACAGTAACATTTCTACTGCCCAAAATAAGGAATTATTGATTATGTAGTTGCTGTAATATGACTAAAAAGTATACAGATTTCCCTATTTCTTATTCATTAATATGAATATTATATCTATTCATTCAAACTTTTGAGTAGGTAAAAAATGTTTTAAAAGTGTGATGATTGTATATAAATGTTTATGTATTATATTTAATACTAATAATGTGTGTATTATATTTAATATTTATTATAAAAATGTAACATAATGAGTAAATATTACTTCGTTAGAACTTTATAGAAAATGTTTGTGTCATTATATTTCAAATATATTATTCTTTCTTTTGATGTTGTTTAGACATAGATTTCAAAATTGTTTGCATGAGATAAATTGTACATAAAATTGTTAATAATAATGTGGTATAAGTTACTGTAGGTAAAATCATTGTATCACCAGCTGGTATTACCCATACATGTTCTGTATGCTATAAAATAAAAATATATTCCTATTCAGAATCATTAAAAGAATATCTTTATCATTAATGCAATTTAATATATACCATAATGTAGGGAATTTCTCTCCATTTGGGTATAAGTTTTGTACATGGAGAACATAGATCTATCTTAGAAATTCTGTATTCCTTAATCCTTTTTCTACATCCTAAAAGTAATTTGGGTTTTGGTAAAGTGATATTCACGTATCTATTATTTTTACTGGCATATTGATAGCGTTGATGTACTGGTAGTTTCATAATACATTGTATATCATTTAAAAACGAACAAACAGTAACTTTCTGAATTTCTGCTTTTTCACTGAACACGTCAATATTGGTTTCTCCAATCAAACAAGCTGTATTCTGAAAAAGAGGCAGAAAGATTTAATAATTAAATTCTAATTCTTTAAAAACTGAAGTATAAAGTAAGTGTCAACTGTAATGAATCATTGCTTCTGCTTGAATTGATTTGTATAGTAAAATATACTTTTGTACTATTAACTTACAACTCTGAGCCTTCTTAAATTACTTAATTCATTAACATTGACGTACAAACCAGATGGAAGTTCCAAATAAATAGAAACATAACATCCCAATATTTGATTATCGAAATTTATTTGATATTTTAAGGACCTGTAAATAATTTTTTTAAAAATAAATTCAACATATTATGAAATATAATTTAGCAGTGTTATCTGAATCTCCATTATCCATTCTATTCAAATTTATGCTATTTATTTATATAATTGAGTAGACAATGATGGCAGAATAAAATATACCTCTTCTCTTATGTCAAACTTACAAAGGTGCAAATTTTCACTTTTTGAGTTAAAATGTATGCATTGGCATAATTAGATAAGGACAGAGCTGAGTTTGGTCCACTAAAAATGTGAACTTGCCCCCTTACCATTCTGAAATTCTGAAGTTCTAAAATTCCAAGGTTCTAAGATTGAGGAATTATAAAATTTAAAAATTCCAAAATTTTTTAATTCTAGAATTCTAAGATTCTAAGGTTCCAAGGTTCTTAAATTTCATAATAATGGTTCTGAAAATCCATAATGCTGTCTCAAATTCCAAAATACAACACACTGCATATGAATTACGTTAAAGTAAATATTTATTACTGCAAGAAAATTTGAAATCATAATAAATATTTAGAATAGGTTATTACTTAAAAATACTTATAGGTACATGTCATTTTCAAATAATTTTAACTAAAAGGTTACAGTTTTTTCTGTTAAAAAGGTTGAGCCGATACTTATAACGTAATTTTATTAAATTACTTTGGACGCTATCTGATATAATTAAAATGGATTGCAAGTCTTAATTAACTTAATGTAAGTTCTTATATTGTTTCTTTATTTCTTATTCATCTTCATTAATATCAGTTCAGTATATTTAAAAACAACATAAACATATATACCTAAATTTGCTGCTCATACATTGTTTTATAGCTTTTGTTCTAATTGGAAATCATATTTCCTTATTCATATATAGTGATAATAATACTTAGAGAGATTATTTTTTAAACTATAATATTGATTAATTTGAATACTAACAATAAGTGAAATATTGTTTGAAATATTTATTTCATATTACAAGTACACACAGTATGTATTTTTTAACAAGAACTGGTAATAGTTATTTGAAATGAATATTTTTTTCATTGTACACATAATGAAATATTAGAGTATTAGTTTCATGAAGTCATACCTGATGTATTGTTCATTCTCATATATAAATTAACACACTGAATGCCACTGTGAAAATGGCCATTTGTTATATGACTTATTGAAGCTCTAAATATTAAGAATAAAAATAGCTAATTTTCAAATTTCAAGCTCTCTATTTACCATTTTACATTATGTGTACCATAACAATATTCCTTAAATAATGTTTTTCTATTGTTTTCTTTTAATTATTCAAATATGTGTAATTTGCAGTATCTGTTACCAGTGATCGCCATGGCATTCAACGTGTTAAATTCTCTTTACCAAATAACTGTTAATATGTCCTGCCATTCATAATTGTTCTATGCACTTTTAATACATAATAATAATGAAACATAATATATGAAATAATCAATGCAAGTTCAGAAGCATAAAAGAATTATTTCTACTACATTTTAAGAAAATTATTATCCCAAATTATAGTTCCAATTCGTAGAGAAATTCACATGTGTAATTATAAATTTCCAAATACTATCTTATTTAATTAAAGGTATTTCAATTACTATTTCCAATACATTTTGCTTAAAACTTATCTAGCTCTGACTGTTACTCACATAAAAAGTATTGAAGGTCAGTAAAATATAGAGAAAAAATATTCCAGACACTATCTAAGATATTAGGTGCTACAAAGTTCAAATAAAATAATATTTGAATTTCTTTTGTCAAATATGATCAGAATATATATGGAACGGTTAATAATTATAGATCTCCCAAAGAAAACTTTAGTTAAAATAAATATTTGAATCAAAGTGCAATATATAATGGAACTAAATACAAAATCTACAATAATATTATTACTACATGAAACACTGAATACAAATTATAGTAGAATTAAACAACACCAGACAATATTTTAGTTAACACTAAAGGGACCCTGTGTAACCCATACAAAAATCATAGTTACAACAATAAATGAATTGATTTACTTTGTAGTAAATCGCATTCATTGATTGTAGAATCTATCAAATTATGATTAAACTAAATAATGGAGATTCTGTGTACAAGATTTTACTATACCTAACCTATGAAATCCTTCTCCTTCTATTCTTGATACAACATTAGCGTTTATCGTTTCACAAATTGTAGTTTGTAAGATTGTAAAACAAACTAAATTAACTTTCATGAAATATTTTTGGATACGACTTAATGGCATTTCTTAAAACAATAATAAAAGATAATGAACGGTTTGTGTTCACGTAAGAACAGACCTTTCGTCCAATACGTTTTCGTTCATCCTTGACATGTTGGCTCTTGATTAGTTTTATCGTTAGTCACAGAACTCCGTTGCGATTCTCACCTACATGAGGCTAGCCGGCGGAAATAATAAAATATGATTATTTTTAATTTTTCTTACAATTAGTGTATTTCATTTGTAAATCATTTGTGATTGATTGTGAGTCTATTTTTAACGTTTGTGACAAATTAGTTCTTTTGTAATTAGCAATTTTATTTCAATCATGATGTCAGCCGAAACTTTTTAGTAATTTTTTATAATAAACAGATTTTGTTATAACTGATAACCGTAATTGACTGGAATTACGTTTATTAATTATTTCATTTCAATCATTTTTATTTGTTGTTTAGAATCTTTAGAATTTCCTTTTTTACATTATGACAGGTGTTGCGATCCTCCCCGGTTTAAAAGAATATAGATGCGAAACATGATGTGAATCAGGCTGTATGAACTATGAACTAGCTTGTAAAGACAGTTGAATGAGGAAACTGAAGCGCGTTAAATTTGAATTATAAAAGAAAATCAATTTTGCGTTATCAAATTGTTATCAAGGATTCCTTATCAGTAGCTCGTTTAGAAGAAGAAAATCGACTTATCGTTATCAAAATGTTTATCAAGGACTAAATTAATGAGCGTTGCTAATGGCAATTTACTTAACGATCAGTAGCTATAAATAAGGGATCCTTCCAGAAAATTTCGTCCTTTATTCTTTGTAAACGATTAAGAGAAGAGCACGTATAAAACATTAATTTACAATTCAATTTATTGTTCTCGTTCAAATATATTAAAGTTAAAGTTAAACGTTAATAAAAGTTCAGTTCATTTTTTAAATAGTTTAAAGTTAGTTTTCTTTTTCTTTAAAATTATTATCGTGAGCAGAGTGCTTTAGCGCTCCACGGGCGGCTAATCCACGATCCTTGGATTTGAAAATCCCTAGAAGAACGAAGAATCGCGCAACAAAATTGGTGACAGCGGTGGGTTCTTCAAAATTCGTGGGAAAGTCAGATACGTTTCCCCTGATTTCGCCGGCTCACTTGAGGGTAGAAGACTAGAAGATAATATTCCAATTGAAAGTGCAACCTCTCTCTCTTGGTTTTTTTGCACGTTTTCCCAAGAGGTGAAGGTGAATACCGGAGAAGGGTGATTTTGGTGGTCGTGCAAGTTATTCCCCAGAATCACATGCACTGCCCGCTGACGCTGATTTGGACATCAGGACCTTTGCTGACCCCGAACATCAGGACCTTTGCTGACGTTGGACATCGAGGATTCTTGCTGACTCTGGATATCGAGGACCCGTGCTGACCCTGGACAACGAAGAATTTGCTGACTTAGACCTTCATCTTCAGGAGAAGACAACCACGAACACAAGCTTTTCGTAAATACTATTTATTAAATTTAGTTAAAGTTAACAAGATGATGCGTAAATTTAGAATACAAAAATTGAAATTGTTGAGGAAAAAGCGTAGGGCTGTTTTATGTAGTTTAAAAGATTTCGAGAGTGAAGATATGACGCCCGAAATGTTACAACCATCATCTGTAGATTCGTCAGAGTTACATTCAATTAGCTCTTCTGGCTCTTCCGTGATTACTGCTGTCGAATCAAATTCGATAAATTCGTCCTCTAATATATCGTCAAAGACTGCTCCTGAGTCTTACCTTTCACTTTCTTTAGTGAAGGATCTGGTTCCACAATTTGATGGGAAGACCGGCTCTTTGACCGAGTTTATAAAGGAATGCAAATTGATAAATTCGAGAGTAAAGCCTAAGGATAGAGCGGGCCTTTTATTTTTAATTCGAGGGAAAATTGCGGGGCATACCAAAATGATACTTTCGAATCATTGTGAACCTAATACTTTGGAAGAATTGATAAGTTTGTTAAAGAAAGTTTATTCACGAACATTTAACATGCATAGGATTAACGAGGAGTTTATGGGGTTGAAACAAGGAGTAAATGATACAATCGAAATTTTTGGTTCGCGAGTTAGTAAAATTTTAAGTACAAGAATTGAAGTGGCAAAAGATAAGTATAATTCAGAACAGTTAAGCGGAGTAGTTGATTTACTAAATAATACGGCGAAAGCTACATTTATTAATGGCCTACAGAACAAAATGTTAAGAATTGTATTAAAGGATAAAGACAGTCACGAGATACCGGATTTTGGAACGATAATAGACATAGCACGAAGGTTGGAATCGGAAACGATGGAAGGTCAAGGAGCTGGATCCCCATCACCCCTGTCACTCTCATCTTCACAGCCTCTTAGTGCAAAAATTTGTAAGGTAGAGGAGACTGTTTCTGTTGATCGGCGATGTTATCATTGCAATAAAGTTGGGCATTTTCAAAATCATTGTCCACAAATTCGAAGAATGCGACGAGGTCCCTTAAATTACGAGTGGAATAGGTGTCATTATTGTAGGAAAACCGGGCATGTGGAAGCACGTTGTTTTAAAAAACAAAATCAAAGCTTACATCAGTCTCAGGAAGAGTCTTCTCGAAATTATCAGTCTCAGGAAGAATCTTCTCGAAATTTAAACTCCAAGGGTGTTCCACGCCAGGGAGCAGCGTGGGGCAAACCTTGGATTGCTTGCTCCAAACCCAATCAATCTGTAGTCAAACCAAAGTGAGAGGCACAGGGCAGTCTCCAGTAATTAAATTAGTCCATAGTTGTTTTAGTGAAGGGTTTGCTAATTTCCTCGTCGACACTGGTTCCCAGTTAAATTTAATAAAAAGTAAAGCCTTAATTCCTAGTGTGAAGGTAAATGCGGAGGTTGTTTATAATCTTTCTGGAATCGGTTCAGGAGAGGTGCTTACCTGTGGTGAAGTTAACATTCAGGTTCGTAATGTTGATGTGAAGTTCCAGCTTGTTCAAAATGATTTTCCAGTTGCTGAAGTAGGAATTTTAGGGATGCCATTTTTAGAAAATCAGAATGTGATATTGAGATTTGGAGAAGATAAGCCAAACAGTCTTCAGCTTGATAATGAATTATTTCTTCTCTCGTCATCTTCTTTTAAATTACCTCCTCGCATGAAAACACTCATAACTGTCCCAGTAAAGAAACCTGAAATTAAAGAAGGCTATATTAGGAAAATAATAACGGAACCAGGTGTTTATATAGGAGAGGCTTTGGTTGTTCAGCAAAACGGGTTTGCAAAAATTTTCGCAATTAATACAACTCCAAATGGTATTGAAATAACAATACCACCAGTTGAATTAGAAGCATTCACTGAAAGTTTACCTTTACCTCGTTCATCTGTTGATTTAAAGGAAGATCGAGCGAAAGTTGAGGCTCAACGGTTAGTCAAAATAGTTAAACTTCTTGAGTTGGATGATTTAAATGAAATTGAACGTGCTAGTATTTTAGAAATCATAAATGAATTTCCTTATCAATTTTATTTACCAACAGAAAAATTGGGTTCAACAAATGCACTTCATCATACAATTTTAACAACAGATGAGATTCCAATAAATACAAAACAATATCGTTTTCCTCCGATTCATAAGGAGGAGATTCAAAAACAGGTCACTTCAATGCTTGAAAATAATGTAATTCAGTCATCTGCCTCTCCTTATAATTCACCGGTTTGGGTGGTTCCAAAGAAACCAGGTCCTTCTGGTAAACCACGTTGGCGTATGGTTATTGATTATCGAAAGTTAAATGAAAAAACAATTAGTGACGCCTATCCGCTTCCCAATATTACCGATATATTAGATCAACTTGGAGCAGCCAAGTATTTCAGCATTCTTGATCTGGCATCAGGTTTTCATCAGATCCCCATGGATCCGAAATCCAAGCAAAAAACCGCTTTTTCAACTCCTTATGGACATTATGAATTTAATAAAATGCCTTTTGGTCTTAAGAATGCCCCAGCCACGTTTCAAAGGTGCATGGATTTGGTTTTGTCGGGGTTACAAGGAGTGGAACTTTTTGTTTATATAGACGACATTGTTATTTACGCTGATTCTTTAGAGGAACATTCTCGAAAATTAAAAACTCTAATGGCACGATTACAAAACGCGGGTTTGGCTTTGCAGCCCGAAAAATGCAGGTTTCTTCGACATGAAATCGTTTATTTGGGTCATGTAATTTCCTCAGAAGGTGTAAAGCCGGATCCCGGGAAGATTAGTGCAGTAAAGTTGTTTCCTCTTCCAAAAACTAAGAAAAATGTCAAACAATTTTTGGGTTTGGTTGGATATTACCGTCGTTTTATCCCACAGATGGCAAAAATTGCTAAACCGTTAACTAACCTCTTAAAAATTGATGTGCCTTTTGTTTGGGATGATGTTACTCAAGCCGCTTTTGAGAAGTTGCGTGACATAATTTGTTCAGAGCCATTACTCCAATTTCCAAATTTCAAACAACCATTCCTTGTGACTTCGGATGCCTCAGCTTATGCAGTGGGAGCTGTTTTGAGTCAGGGGTCGATTGGAAAGGATCTTCCTATTGCTTATGCTTCACGGATTTTAAATGGTGCAGAGATCAATTATTCTACAATAGAAAAGGAATTATTGGGTATTATTTTTGCTGTAGAGCATTTTCGCCCATATTTGTATGGACATCGGTTCACCATAATAACTGACCATCGACCATTGGTTTGGTTACATAATGTAAAGGATCCAACGACCCGAATAATGAGATGGCGAATTAAATTAAATGAATACGATTATGATATAGTTTACAAACCTGGAAAAATAAACTCAAATGCTGATGCGTTATCCCGCAATCCGCCAGATCTTTCTCAGGTGGAACAAGCTTCTCTTTTCTTCAATAACACTCATTCATTAAATTCTAAAGGGATGGATAGTTTAGTCGCTTCTTCTTCTGAGGGCCTGCGGGGGAGTGTCGTACGCGCGAACGATTTGTCGCCCGTAGACTCTGGAAGAATGGAAGTTATGGATTTAGATGAGATTTCAAAAAATAATGAAAATTTAATAGCCACGGTTTTCTTAATGCATGGAAAGGATAAAATAATGGAGATTACGAACTCAGATGATGATTCAGTTGAAAGTGATGAATATCTCACGGCAGATGAAGGAGAAACGCTTGAAAAAGATATTAATTCTATTGAAGTAAGGAACCATTTTGTTACCGTTAATGGTCGTGGTGATGATGTTAATGTAGAAAGAACGACTCCGTTACATGGTTCGGCCTTGACTTTGGTAGCTCTCAAAAGAGATTCGGATAGGCGATATCAAATCACCCCGCTCGAGAGAATGCCGGAGGTCGTCCATGTGGGCAGTG